ACCAGCCGTCCATCATGGATATTCTAGCCAAGAAAAAGGCTGCACCCAAATCCGGCAAGACAGCGGTGAAGGAGGGATCCCGGGATTTTGAGACTGGAGCAGCGGGTGACAAGTCTGACAAGACCAGGGGGCGGAAAGTTGTCAAAAGGCAGCCAAGCTCTTTGGATTCGGATTCGGATTCAGATTTTGGCTCGAAGCCTTCCAAATCAGTTGCAGCAAAGGTTTGTACTCTGCCACCCGCTAGAGCCGAGGGGGTACCACAGCGTGTGGTGTCGGTTGTTCTGGCAGGAAAAGCGTGGTAGAGGTAGAACCTCCTCTGCGACGCCCGTCGTTATTGCTGGGTGTGGGGAAGGTGGGTGAGAAGGGGGGGTCGGGCACGCGTACTTATCCCACATTGTTGGTTTGGTCTCATCAGTCCAAACAACCACCTTGCCCGTGACACAGTGGTACGTTTTGTGCTAATGGTGTTCCCTGTTTATGCTCAGATTCATGATTCACTTCTTGACTATGCTTTCCCTCCAGAAAGCCAAGCCAGAAGACGATGATAGCTTTACTGTTGATTCAACTGCTCGTGCGGAGAGCCCCGTAGCAGCCGTGCCCCGTACCAGGCCTGGACGTCTCAAAAAGCCTGTCCGGTACTTGGAGGAGTCTGATGAGGATGATATGTTTTGAATTTGTATGAAGATTGTGAACTGCTGATCCAAAGAACATCTCAGACTAGGAAATCTTTTCACTGAATTTAAGCTAGTCCAAAAATGTTTGTTACGAGCGAATACATCTCTATTTTTCTTGGTTTTAAATAAGTTAGGTTTGTTTAAACAGGAACCCTCCTCCCTTCCTCATGAACGCTGGAGCCATGTGCCCAGCTCGCGCTGATGCACTTCCCTCTTACCCATTAGCTAGCTGGAATCTTTTGACACTTTGTGGTGATTTTAATGTTCAAGTAGGCTTTAGAACATATCAAATCCTTTAAAATACCCTCTCACGTAGACACCTTCCACTTTAGATATCTTAAAAGCTTATATATTTTATTATTTTTTAACTCCACAACCATAGAGACGTAATATGTGAGGTGTAGGCATTTAGAACTCCATGCTGGTGTTTTTCTTCCTCTTTTGCAGTCCTTTATGTCAGCGCAGGCCCCTGTTGCTCAACCTCTGCCATGTTGAGTTTTAGCCTTTGGTTTTTTAAATTCGGATTTAGTCACGGAGGTTTGTGCAGACTTGTCTCCACACCGTGCTCGGTGTTGGCAGTTTTATCTTCTGTCTGGCTGCCAAGAAACCCCGTGTTCAGCTAGTTCAGCCCAGAGGTCATCTTCAGGTAAGAGACGCTTGTGACTGCCAATGCCTTGTGCTGTTAAAGAGCTAAAGGGGTGTCTCTGCGGTGCCAGCTGAGTGAGGCGGGCTCTTGGAGAGGACAGAGGCAGGACAGACATTCGCCGTGCAAGGATCTTTGATCTGCGGGAACTTGCAGGAAAGCCCGTTGGTTATTCCAGTGCACGCGTTGGAAAGCAGCAGGTTCCCCCGTGCCGAGCTGCTCTGCTGCCGTGCTTGGCACTGGAAAAGGCTGCTGTGCATGAAGCCTCTCCTGCCCCTTTGTTCCTGGGGACAAAGAGCTTCCCCTTAGCTTCTGCACGCCCGGCTGCACGAAGGGTGCAGTCCCCTGCGAGGTGAGACCTGTTTGTCACCTCGGTGCCACCGGGTGGTCAGACCTTCCAGCGCTCGGGTTCCTCAGCAGAAGCAGGGAAGCGTCATCTTCCCCTTCGAAGTACTTCACTGCAGTATTTATCTAGTCGTGTTTTGCTTTTCGTAGAGCTATTTCTATAGCACCGAGGGATATTTCTTGACTGTCTATGTAAATATTTTCTGTGTTTTTTGTCTTGTCCTGAGTTTCTGTCCTTTTTAATATTTATATAATAAAAGTGTTTTTACTTGAGCTTTCCTCAAAAAAAAAAAGGAGTTGTCCTCATCTGCCCGTTCCCTCAGTTTTCCCTTGCGCCGGCTCTCCAGGGCCACGGGTTGTCTTTGTTCATGGTGAGTACTTGAAGCTCGGACTTTCTCAGGAGCAAGAGGCCATCGGCTCCCACCCTCTGCTGCCAAGACTGGTCTAAATGGGTCATCTCCATTGTCTAACCACCCTCGTTATTTCAGAGGTTATTTCCAGTGCTGATTTAGCCGATTTTGGCATTGTTATGGAAATTGACCATTGCAGAGCTTGTGCCAAGCCCTCCGCTCCGCCATCGCAAAGCGATGGTCTGGCTGTAGGGCTGGTGCAGACCATCCCCGGGGCGTGGAGCCACGTAAAGAAGGCTGCACCCTATAGAAAGAGCTGTAGGAGCCTCGGGCTTCGCAGAGGAGGTCTGCTCAAATGGTGTGTCTTCTGCTTTCCCCCCTGCCACGGGGGAGCTGGTGCTTCGGCACTCGGCCAGGGGACTCCGGTCCCCTGGCTGGTCACCCCAAGCTGCCAAGCGCTGTGAAAGCCCCACGGGTGTCCTGCCTGCCCCAGGGGCAGCTCCCGGGTGGGAGCGGGTCAGCGTTTGCTGCCCCCCGAGCCCTGGACCCTGCCCCAGGCAATGCCTTGCAGCCAGCTCAGGTGCTGCCTGGACTGTTTCCCTGCCAGTTCCTCGCTGCTAACGCTGTGGCTTTGCAAAACCGCTGGCTGGACCCGCTACCTCGGCTCCACAGCCGAGGTTTCCAAATTCCTGCGAACGCCCATGTGGCAGCCGGTGTCTGCCCGCGCAGACCGTCTGCCCCAGGATCTGCTGCTGCAGCCGGCGCAGAACTTCAGGTGGCTGAAGTTTCTGACGTGCTCAGCGCTCCCGGGCTGGAGGGTTTTAATCTTGAGTGATGGGTTTGTGCTGCCTCTCTGGGCTGGAGTCGTGCCCCTGGGGGGCTGCCTGTCTGCTGGGGGGGGGCATGTGGCAGGCTCTGCTCCGGCTGCTCCAGGCAGAAATGGGGGTTTCGTGTGCAGGGTGGTGCCCGCAGCGGGAGGGATCAGGGTCACTAATGAAGGTGTGGGGGGACGAGCTGCGCTGTCCCACGTCCCCGCACCTGGGTGTTCAGCACCCCAGGGCACCCAGAGCATTATGCACATGGCTGAAACACGCAGCGCAGGGTTGGTGTGGGGCTGCCATCGTGCTGGCAGGCACAGGGAGCTGGCGGTGGCTCCTGGGCTGGCACCGGGGGATGAGCAGGACCCAGCTGTGACACCCGCCTCCCCCCCCATGTCCCAGGCTGGTGGTTCACCGCACACAGGGAGCTGCATGGCTGCAGGACCAATTGGCAACCCCCGGGGCCCGCCCGTCCCCCGCCAGCCGTGGCGTGGCGGTCGGGTGCAGGCACTATCGGTGCCACTGAGGTGCTTTGCTGGAACCCAGTCAAGTGTGGAAAGCACTGTCAGATTTTCCACTGCCGGGCTCTGGAGACCGTCTCCGGCGCGTCCCCGCCAAAGGGCCGTGCTATTTACGGCTCTCCTTGATGTAAGCGCGCCCGGAGAATCAGTTGTCACAACTCGCACAGCAAATGGCGAGGCTGGGGCCGCGCCACGCAGGCTGCTCCGGGCTGGCTGTGTAGCTGCTCCCATAACCCCGGCATCACCCCAAATGTATATATAGCGCTGTGTGTGCATGAACACACACACACACACACAGACACACAGAGTGCACCACAGTGTCTATACCAGGATTTTCTCTATCACAAAATCTCCCTGACTGGGGCGCTGGGGATGCTGAGCACTGCTGGAGGGGGGAGCTGAGCTGTGGGGCATCGGGCACCAACCCATCATGGGCATCGCATGTCCCCCGAGGGGTGAGGAGAGCCCGAGGGTGACCCGCATCAACCAGGGCTCCGCTCCCCTCCTCTGTGAGGCCTGTGCCTCACATTCCCACATTCCACAGGCAAAGGCCATCGGCACGTGCCCTCGCTGGGCCGGGGCTGGCGGGAGCCCTGGCTGTGCCACGGAGGATTTCTCGCAGAGCATCGCAGAGCTTTGAAAAGCAGCTGCCTGGCAGCACGGCCTCCCACTGGCCGGTCCAGCTCCATCTGCCAGCACATGCCGGAGCCGGGGGCAGCCCGGGATGGTCCATGGATGGGACTCTCCATGGCCCTGACAGCCCAGGCACAGCATCATGGAGCAGGGAGGGCTGGTGCCAGTCCTGAGCATCCCCGGGCACAGCGCTCCAGCCCCACAGGGGAGAGCCTGGCCCCAGGCAAGACCACGGGGCAGGAGCTGTCGCAGCACGGTTGAATGCGGCCGATCCACACGGGCTCTGCCAGGGCCAGGGAGGCGATGCCAGTGCTGGGGGTGGCCTTTTGGGGGCTGAGTGCTGTGGCTTGGTACCCTGAGGCCCTGGGGGTTTGGGGAGGCCAAGGCATGGGGGCATTTCTGCATGGGGGGGGGCCCGCTGCCCCCTGCACCAACCTGTGCCCCGGGCAGCTGCTGACCCCAGGGCAGGGGCAGCGTTCGTCCTTGAGGCCCACCTGGCAGAGCTGAGCCCTTCTCTCCCCTCCGGGCGCCCCTGCGGCTGCTCTGTCCCTTTTATAGGACTT